GTGCATCGAAGAATTTACTCTCCATTCAATCACATATACCCGAAACAAGGCATTAACACGGCACGGACACAGTAAGACCAAGGCTACTGCACTGTCAGACCAACACATTGCGCAAGAAAAAAAAACCCAACCAAAATTATAGAAAACATTATGGTCACGGATTGGCAAGCGCACGCATACGGCACTATTCATTATATAAGTTACACAAGGTGACTGTACTGTCTATATTCATCACAAGCAGCGAGGTGCCGTGTGACTCATGTTATCCSATGTTATCGCYTTTTTCATCTTCTGCAGTTGGTTTTCAATTAACAATAAGCAAACAYAAAGCAGTGACTGGTATTCGGTTTTCTAGTTGATGGTGGAAGTTTCTATTGATCATGTGTAAAGCGTTGAACTTGAGAGTATTGCGGAAGGATCTAATACCAACAATGTTAGGTCTAATTTTCGTCATAATCATTGCWAAAGCTTCCGCTGGTCAAGAGTATCGCATCTGGTTTGGACTGAGACCTTAAGAAGTTTGATAACGACAACGAAGGAACGTCATGTACAGATGTTTACATGTACGGATTGTTCTAAACAAATATCAGCGTTATTGCCGAATACTGTAGCATCTTGGCGACCAGTTTAACGACTTTTAATTAATTTTCGACTTTATTAATTTGCCTTAGATCAAATAATCACGGAATTATGCATGTCATTGTTGATTGCAGCTGTAGTGTCTTGACGACCAGTAAGCTATAACATGCCGTAGTCTAGTATSAGTTTATTCTAAAATATGACACAGCTGCAAATTTCAGTGACCACACGCGAAGATAGCAACAAACGACGACTTGTACTTTCTCTAAAAACTGATTGATGATAAAAGGTAGACAGTAAAATCCAAGGTACGGAGTGGTATACGGCTATTTTTAAAAAAGGTTTCGAAGGTTTTGTTTTATGTTGGATTGTATTATATTCATACGTAAATAATGTCAGCACAGAAGAAGACTATGCCGGGAAGAAAAACAGATAGAGAAAGTCTGAGAAAATTCTATATTGTTGTGACCTTTCGGCTCACGCTGTTGGTATACACATTGCCCATTGTGCAAAAAAACCTTCACCTACCTTTTTTGAAAACAGCTTAATTGTAAGTCACGAATGTGAATAAAAAACTCAAGATGCACCTGTAATAAATGATTTGCATTCAAGAAAAAGAGTTGTTTGTATTCCATCGCCTTGCCTTCTTCTTTCTCTGTATTTGAAATATCAATTGAAAGAAATGTGCTTGACATGTACCCTACTACAAATTTAATTAATTTTTTATCAAAAGTTGGGAACAGGAACTGAATTACCTCATTTGTTTAGTTTRGTAATCTAAGTAACAATCCCTTTTCCTTTTATCCACAACTAAGTTTATTTTAGTTCTCGTCGACTGCTGAGCAGTTAGTGTAGAGAATTTCACAAAAGATGTATATCTGTAATAAGCAGTGGGCTCAAGTCAAACAACRCTCATTATGAGCAGCGAGATGCTGTGTGCTTCATGTTATCGCTTTTTTCRKCTTCTGCAGTTGGTTTTCAATYAACRATGAGCGAACGCAAAGATGCCGACTGTTATTATKTTTTCTAGTTTATGGTGGAAGGCTCTCATCATGTGTTGAAAGTCTTGAACTGGAGAGTAGTGCAAATGGCTCTGAGCAGTAACATTCCACCAATGTTCGGTCTACTATTCTTACTAGTCATT